TTTGTGATTGACTTATTTCACTCAGCATAATGTCCTCCAGTTTCATCCATGTTATGAGATGCTTCACGGATTCATCATTGTTCTTTCTCGTTGCATAGTACTCCATTGTGTGTATGTACCATAGTTTGTTTATCCATTCATCTCTTGTTGGGCATCTAGGTTGTTTCCTTGTTTTGCTATTGTGAACAATGCTGCCATGAACATAGGTGTGCATATGTCTATTCCAGTGACGACTTATTTCTCTAGGATATATTCCTAGGAGTGGGATTGCTGGATTGAATGGTATGTCTATTTCTAGCTTTCTGAGGAAGCGCCATATCATTTTACAAAATGGTTGTATCATTTTGCATTCCCACCAGCAGTGCATTAAGAGTTCGGATTTCCCCGCAGCCCCTCCAACATTTGTTATTTCTAGTGTTTTTGATTCGTGCCAGTAATGGTGGGGTGAGATGGTATCTCATTGTGGTTTTAATCTGCATTTCTCTAATCAAACTGCCAACTTGTTGCTTAACAGCCCTAACTCAATGTAGCTGTTAACCACTGCGCCACCAGGGCTCCTTATCTAGATTAGACAACTTAAAATTGAAATTTTTATTACACACATCAGGAAAAGAAAGCTCAGGTGGTTTAGCTCCAAGTTCAGTAACTAATAGAAAAACCCTCACTGTTCAACTTATGTATGGCAATGTATCATTTTATATATAAAGGCTAATTTCTTACCAACATTTGTTGTGTTGTTTTATATTCAATAAGAAAAACGGTGTGGCTGTCTGAGCTTCACGGGTGAAGAGAGCAGGGAGGATTGGAGCCTATTCCTATCACCAACTCCTGAAACTGGTGTGGGCCTCTTACAATGTAATTTCTAACCCGCTTCTCAAATCATTCTGGATTCTGGATTATCTTTCATTCTCATTTCACTTTAGATGTCTTTCCCATTCATTGCAGTGGTGAGTTTCTTTGGTTCTACAAATCAGCATTTTTAACTCTAAGTTATGAAGTTATTTTATGTGCCTATGATAAAAATAGTGGGATCTAAAGACAGTATCGTAGGGATAGGATAATATCCATACACCTGCAAGGAAGACCAGTTAATACGACTATTATTCAAATTTAGCCAACAATCACTAATACCAAGGTTGAAGAAATTGAAGATTTTTACCAACTCTGCATCTGAAAATGATCAAACATGTAATCAAGATGCATGGTAATTACTAGTGATTGGAATATGAAAGTTGGAAACAAAGAAGGATCAGTAGCTGGAAAATATGGCCTTAGTGATAGAGACCATGCCGGAGATTGCATGAAAGAATTTTTCAAGACCTATGACTTCTTCAGTGCAAATACCTTTTTTTAGCAACATAAATGGCGACTATACACATGGACCTTGCCAGATAGAATACACAGGAATCAAATCAACTATATCTGTGGAAACAGACGATGGAGAAGCTCAATATCATCAGTCAGTACAAGGCCAGGGGCCAACTGCAGAGCAGACCATCAGTTGCTCCTATTCAAGTTCAAGTTGAAGCTGAAGAAAATTAAAACAAGTCCATGAGAGTCAAAGTACAACCCCGAGTATATCCCGCCTGACTTTAGACACCATCTCGAAAACAGGATTTGATGCACTGAACACTAATGACTGAAGACCAGAGGAGTTGGGGAATGACATCAAGAACATCATACATGAAGAAAGCAAAAGAAAAAAAAAAGATGAAATGGATGTCAGAAGAGACTCTGAAACTTGCTCTTGAACACAGAGTAGCTAAAGGGAAATGAAATGAAGTAAAAGAGCTGAACAGAAGATTCCAAACGGCAGCTCAAGAAGACAAAGTTAAGTATTATAATGAAATGTACAAAGACTTGGAGTTAGAAAACCAAAAGGGAAGAACACGCTCTGCATTTTTCAAGCCGAGAGAACTGAAGAGAAGATTTAGGCCTCGAGTTGCAGTACTGAAGTATTTTATGGACAAAAAACTGAATGATGCAGAAAGCGTCAAAAGAAGATGTAAGGAATACACAGTCACTATACCAAAAAGAATTGAATGACATTTAACCATTTTAGGAGGTGGCATATGATCAAGAACTGATGGAAGAAGTCCAAGTGTCACTGAAGGTACTAGTGAAAAACAAGGCTCCAGGAATTGACGGAATACCAATTGAGATGTTTCAACAAACAGATGCAACGCTGGAAGCGCTTACTCGTCTATGCCAAGAAATTTGGAAGACAACTGCCTGGCCAACTGACGGGAAGAGATCCATATACATGCCCATTCCAAAGAAAGGTGATCCATCAGAATGTGCTCATGCAGAATCTACATAGACCAAGAGGCAGTTGTTGGAACAGAACAAGGGGATACTGCATAGTTTACAATCAGAAAAGGTGTGCATCAGGGTTGTATCCTTTCACCATACTTATCAATCAGTATGCTGAGCAAATAATCTCAGAAGCTGGACTATATGAAGAACGCAGCATCAGGATTGGAGGAAGACTCATTAACAACCTGTGATATGCAGGTGACACAACCTTGCTTGTTGAAAGGGAAGAGGACTTGAAGCTCTTACTGATGAAATCAAGGCTATAGCCTTCAATATGGATTACACCTCAACATAAAGAAAACAAAAAGTCTCACAACTAGACCAATAAGCAACATCAGGATAAACAAAGACAATCTTGAAGTTGTCAAGGATTTCATTTCACTTGGATCCACAATCAATGCCTATGGAAGCAGCAGTCAAGAAATCAGACGACGTATTGCATTGGGCATATCTGCTGCAAAGACCTCGTTAGAGTGTTGGTTGAAAAGCAAAGATGTCACTTTGAGGATTAAGGTGCGTCTGACCCAAGCCATGGTATTTTCAGTTGCCTCATATGCATGTGAAATCTGTACAATGAATAAGGAAGACCAAAGAAGAATTGATGCCTTTGAATTATGGTGTTGGCAAAGAATATTGAATGTACCATGGACTGCCAGAAGAATGAACAAATGTCTTGGAAGAAGTACAGCCAGAGTGATCCTTGGAAGTGAGGATGGCAAGACTTCGTTTCATGTACTTTGAACATGTTATCAGGAAGGACCAATCCTTGGAGAAAGACAGCATGCTTGGTAAGATAGAGGGTCAGCAAAAAAAGAGGAAAACTTTGGACGAGATGGATTGACACAGTGGCTCCAACGATTGCCTCAAACGTACCAATGACTCTGAGGATGGCGCAGGACCAGGCAATGTTTTGTTCTGTTGTACATAGGGTTGGTGTGAGTTGGAACCAACTCGGCAGCACCTAGCAACAACAACAAAGACAGAATCCTAGTATGAGAGCTGAAAGATATTTTGCACGTAGCCTTAACTTCCTTAACCTTATGTTTCCCAAATACTTATATATGAAGAAAAAATAAAGATTGCGGTAAAACTATTGTGCTTTATTTTTTTAAAAGGGTGAAAATGCCCAGATTTTTTCCATAATAGAAGTGGAGATACACTTATTTTAAAGGTTTGTTAGAAATATGACCAAACTGTGAACTGATAAATTCATTATTTTCATTGTCAAATTCTGATATTAAAATAATGGTAACTTTTTAAAGAAATAATTTTCTAAACCTGCTGCTTTTACTGAACGTTTGAGGCTGGGCAACCTAAGACCACACTGCTTTCTCTTAACTGTGTAACAATACATACACATATCTGCATACAATTTTCTAAGATAGAGTACCATTTTTACAAGTATTAGTCACACCTCTGTGAAATGTGAATTTGGGTCCAGTAATGACACTGATAAGTGTTCGAAACGGAGCCTTCAGAAGGGAGGGCAGCAGAGAAACTCCTGAATGAACTTTCTTCTGGGGGAGAGTAATCAGTTTTTGAACTCATGCAAAACAAAAGCGGTCCTGTTTGTTCCAGTGGATGTACATGCTCCTGGCAGTATGGAGTCTTCTAGTGTGTTCTCTGCTAGTGAGAACATTCTACTGTTACTGTAAATGTAAATAAACTACCTTTCTAAAGCAGTCATATTTCATTTTTTCCTCTAAAATATCACTAAAGTCGGTTGCAATTTACCTAGTGAATACTGTATGGCCCTCTGTAGAAGGAAGCATATTATTAAAATAGCTGGAGTATTACTCCAGGAGATGATACTACTACCTCTAAATTCTCTGTTCTAGATGTAGACCATGAGTTCTTTTAATATTTTATTAATAATAAATATATTTGAAAAATCCTATGCCTCAGTGGATTTCTCAGATAAAGACTGGAACAAGTCCTTATAGACAGTAGAGTTCATAAACCGGGGGTACGAGTCTCTGTGCATTAGGGTGTAAATCTGAAGTTGTGCATCATCAAATATGTGCTGGGATGGTTCCAACATGTTTTTGTTGATGACTTCTCTTACTCGGGAGTCTAAGCTGACCTGTAGATAGAAACAAATAACACTACTGTTAGATACTCCCCTTTATGAATTCATCCCTAAATCCATAGTTTGTTCTGTGTTTCAAAAATCTGCAACCAAAAAAGATCATCCATAAATCCAGACTGCAGAAAGAGAAACTGAAAACATAGCCAACAGGGGCTGTCACACGATGGTGGCCTCAAAAGCCCCTGGAGCACTTGTTAAACACAGACTGCTGGGCTCACCCCAGAGCTCTGATTCAGCAGGTGTGGATCCAAGGAAAAAAAAAAAAAAAAAAACAATGCTGTCGAGTCAACTGCGACTCTTAGTGACCCTGTAGGACCCAGTAGAACTGTCCCAATAGCGTTTCCCAGGCTGTCTTTACTGGAGCAGACTGCCACATTTTTCTCTTGCTGAGCAGCTGTTGAGTTGGAACTACTGACCTTTTTGGTTAGCAGCCGAGCACGTAACTACTGAGCCACCAGGGCTCCTTGTTGTTGTTGTTAGCTGTCGTCGAGTCGGTTCCAACTCATAGCAACCCTATAGGACAGAGCAGAACTGCCTCATAGGATTTCCAAGAACGGCTGGTGGATTCAAATGGCTAGAAGATTTGAACTCCCGACCTTTTGGTTAGCACCTGAGCTCTTAACCACTGTGCCACCAGGGCTCCTAGGTATGGGTAGGGCCTGATAATTTGTTTTACTTCCTTAAAATGACTATACTGTGTCCTTTGAAGAAAGACAGAGCATGCACAGACTTGTATGCCGTCGAGTCGGTTCCTACTCAGGAGCCCTGGTGGCACACTGGTTAAGAGCTCGGCTGCTAACTGAAAGTCGGACAGTTCAAACCCACCAGCTGCTCTGTGGTAGAAAAGACCTGGTGATCTGCTCTCCTGATTACAGCCTAGGAAACCCTATGGTGCATTTCTGCTCTGTCCTATAGGGTCACTATATGATACACAGACTGAGCCCTTGTTAATTTCCTAATAACACCCAAGGCCGCTAGAGCTTCAGCACAGCTAAAAGCAGTAGCTGGTTTCAGGGAATCAGTGCCAGGCCGAGTGGCAGTATGAGGAGCCTAAGTAAACCCGGAGTTGACTCAGAAGCACCGTGCAAGGGTTAAAATCATGGGCCCTGTAGTCAGATGGGAGTCCCCGGTGTTTGGGTGGTAACAAGAAGGTTCTAAGTAAGAGTCCACCCAGAGGAGCCTCAGAAGGAAAAAAGAATCAGCCATCTGAAAACTCTATGAAGCACAGTTTTACTCTGACTGACACACACGGGGTCACCATGAATCAGAAGTGACTTGATGGCAACTGGTTATTTAATCAGATGCTTTTGTTTAAATCCCAGCTCACTCACTAATTTGCTGTGAGGCAGTGGGCAAGGTAAACTCTGTGTGCTATCATTAACTCCTCTGTAAAGCGGGGATGAAGATGATAGGACTTACTAGATTTTTTGTGAGGATTTAATGAGAATTTGCTTACAGTGCTTGAACCCAATCAGCCCCTAGTAGATGTTGGCTAATACTACTCTGATCTTTTGCTCACCATAGATCAGATTGTCTCATAGACCAGGGTAAGCTTCTGGGCTCAGACACTGACTGCAGGACAGCAGACAAGGAATGTACAAGCTGGAGCTGTGGAGATGAACTTGTGCTATTTTCTCTTGTGTAAAGGCCCTTAGCTGGACCAGCTCTGCACCAGTGGGTGTGCTTTGCAAATGAGTATGCTATTGTTCAATGCAGAAATTTGAAAATATGATTAGCTAAATTATTAATTGAAATACTGACTTCAGTGATCCTTCCCAAAGCATATATCTACCTTCCTTTTGGAAAGCCCCTCTCACCTACCCACAAGTCCCTCGAACTCAACACATCCAAAACTAAACTCCGGCATTTCCAGATCTCTTCCTGGTTTAGCTTCGTGAAGGAATGGAACTATTCATTCCCACCCAGTTCGGAGTCCTGCTTACCCTCTATTTCCCCTCTGGCTCTATGTTCAGTCACAAAGTCCTGGTGAGTCAGCCTCTTCCTCACCTCTTGAATCTGTGCAGTTTGTCCCTCCTCTCTGCCACAACCTTCGTCGACCTCACTGATCCTTTCTTGCTGGATTTGGTCAGCAGCCCCCCACCTGCTCTCCCAGAGCCAGCATAGTGCCTCTCCAGACCACTCTCCACCCGTCAGCCAGAGGAGCTTTTCTAAAGTGCAAACGTGGTCCTGATACTCTCAGCAGTTACACGCCCAGCCTTAGAATGTTCTTTGTGACCTGCTACCACAAACTCCCCAGGTCAGCTTTTCTGCCCCACGCAAGAGCTGTTCTGAACCACTTGGAATTTACTGGGCGAAGGAGCTAGGACAGTCTTTCCTCTGTTCCCTCTGTCTAGAATAGCCTTTCCCTCTTTCTGGCCTGGCTGTGTCTGCTCCTCCTTCAAATCTTCCTCACTGGAAGCCTCCACCAACTACCCATACAGAGGTAAATGCCCCTTCTCTGTTTCTCTTTGTCCTCTGAACTTACCCTGTGGTGGCACTCACCACTCACCTCTACAGAAAGCTTGTTATGTATAAAGACCCAGTGCTTATTAGCACAGATCCTGCACAAACAGGAAGCACTCCATAGAGAAAGTTCCTGCTCTGGTAGGAGAATTAGACTAAAGTAGTTACTGCGTGGTAACTGAAAGTTCAGAGGTTTGAACTCACCAGCTGATCCGTGAGAGAAAGATGTGACAGTCTGCTTCCGTAAAGATTACAGCTTTGGAAACCCTATGGAGCAGTTCTACTCTGTCCTATAGGGTCACCATGAGTCAGAATCAACTCCACAGCAATGGGTTAGTTATAACAGAACCAGTTGCCATTAAGTCGACTCTGACTCATGGCGACCTCATGTGTGTCAGAGTAGTACTGTGCTCCAGTTTTCAATGGCTGATTTTTCAGAAGTAGATTCCCAGGCCTTTCTTCTGAGGCACCTCTGGGTGGACTTGAACCTCCAACCTTTCGGTTAGCAGCCAAGCACATTAACTGCACCAGGTGAAAAATGGTTATTCACCATTTCAAATTCAAGGTATACACAAAGGGGCACATTTTGAGATGAAATCAGAGATGGTTTCTAACCACATTGAGACCAGCTACTTAAAAAAAGAATTTGTAATAGTTAAGGACACTGGGAATTCCGGGTGGTGCAAACAGTAAACGTGCTCACTGCTCACTGAAAGGCAGGAGAGCGGTTAAAAAATATGCAGCTATTAAGTGATAGAACTGAGATTCAAACCCTAGCTGACCTTACCCCAAAGTCTATGTTCCTTAATTTTTTTCAAGGCTTTGTATTTCAAGTAAAAGATGCTTATACTTGGGGGGAAATGTTCATCTTTTTATATCATTCTTGCCTCAAATTTGTTTTTTTTTTTTGCTGTATAGTGTTTTAAAAGACACTGAATAAAAATCTCGCCTTAAAAAAAAGGAAAATCATAACAAAATAAAAATACAGTAAAACTTGATGAAAGCTGTGCAAAATGATATAACCATTTTGGAAAATGATATGGCACTTCCTTAGAAAGCAATCCCACTCCTAGGAATATATCCTAGAGAAATAAGAGTCGTCACTCCAATAGACATATGCACATCTATGTTCATGGCAGCATTGTTCACAATAGCAAAAAGATGGAAACAACCTAGATGCCCATCAACAGATGAATGGATAAACTATGGTACATACACACAATGGAGTACTATGCAACGAGAAAGAACAATGATGAATCTATGAAGCATCTCATAACATGGATGAAACTGGAGGACATTATGCTGAGTGAAATAAGTCAATCACAAAAGGACAAATATTGTATGAGACCTCTATTGTAAAAACCCATGAAAAAGTTTACACACAAAAAGTAACAATCTTTGTTGGTTACCAGGGATAGGGTGGGGGGGGAATACTAAACAGGCAATAGATAAGTGGTATCTTGGGTGAAGGGTGAGACAGTACGCAACACCGGGGAAACCAGCAGAACTTGTACAAGGAAAGGTCATGGAAGCTCCATAGACACATCCAAACTCCTTGAGGGACTGAATTGCTGGGCGGAGGGCTGTGGGGACCATGATCTCGGGGAACATCTAGCTCAACTGGCATAACACAGTTTATAAAGACAATGTTCTACATTCTACCTTGGTGAGTAGCATCTGGGGTCTTAAAAGCCTGTGAGTAGCCACTAAGATACTCCACTGGTCTCATCCCTTCGGGAGCAAGGGAGAATTAAGAGACAGGATACAAGGAAAAGATTGTCCAAAGGACTAATTGTCCACAGCTACCAAGGCCTCCACCAGACTGAGTCCAGTACAGCTAAATGGTGCCTGGCTACCACCACTGACTGCTCTGACCAGGATCACAATAGAGGTTCTGGACAGGGCTGGAGAAGGATGTAGAACAAAATTCTAACTCACAAAAAAAAAGACCAGATTTACTGGCCTAAAGGAGACTGGAGAAACCCCAAGAGTATGGCCCCCAGACACCCTTTCAGCTCAGTGGTGAAGTCACTTCCGAGGTTCACTGTTCAGCCCAGGAGTGGACAGCCCCATAAAACCAAATGGGGCTAATGAGGCACAGCAGTCCAGGGACAAGGGCTAGAAGGCAGAAGGGGACAGGAAAGCTGGTGATAGGGAACCCAAGGTTGAGTAAGGATAGTGTTGATGTGTCGTGAGGTTGTTAACCATTGTCATAGGGCAACATGTGTACTAACTGTTTAATGAGAAACTATTTTGTTCTGTAAACCTTCATCTAAAGTGAGAGTAGCAGCACAATTGGAAGAGCGTAGTCGATGCCACTGAACTGTGCATGTAGAAATTTTTGAAATGGTGTATCTTTGGCTATGTATAGTTTCACCAAAAAAAAAAAAAAAAGGTTGAGAAGGGAGAGGGTTGACACATCGTGGGGTTGTTAACCAATGTCATAAAACGATATGGGTACTACTGTTTCATGAGAAACTATTTGTTCTGTAAACCTTCACCTGAAGTACAATTTAAAAAAAAAAGAAAAACCAAACAAAAAAAAACTTGAGAAAGCTGGAACCTGTGTAAGGCAGAAACCTGTCAGAAGAGGAAAACTCAAATATTTTCCACTAAAATGAGTGTTAGAAAAGTGGTAAGACTGTACCCTGTCAAAGGTGGAAAACTTGACCTGGAAAAACAAGGCAGTCCCACTGAGTTCCAGCTCTCACAGGTTTAACTGTATATGGAAGCCAAACATTGAAGCACAGAAATTCCCTTGCCTTTTATTAATCCAAAATGCACTGGTTACTGGAAATAACTTTCTGAGCTCCATATTCATACTCTGTCAGCTGACTATCTCCCACGTAACGATGCAAACCTAAATAAGCAAAACTCAGCCCTTCTGAGTGCCTCTTTCTGTAAGCCCAATTACAGCGAATTCCCCACTATTGGATCTGTCCAAACCAGGCAGTTAGGTGTCATTCAGAGCACTGGGATTTTACATCAGATCAAACCCTTCCTGTCTTGTTTCTCTGCACTGTCTTAGTTTGGCCTTCATCCTTTCACTACTCTCTGCCTTGAGTCTTGTTCTCCTGAGAGTCTGCAGCCATAACGATCTTTGGAAAATCCAAATTTGATCATATTACCAGGCTAAAATCCAAGGGCTTCCAGGATAAAATGAGAAAACCTCAGCAGGGCCTCCACACCTCATATGCTCTCGTGCCTTTACCTTTTCTAAGCTCTCCTCCTCTGCCTGCCACCAGCCCTGAGAGTTTGGAAAGAGCCTGCTTAAGGCCTGCCCGACTATCTACACTTTAATTGTGCATCGATTTCATGCCTTTATCCTTGGTCCATCTGGTACTGTCTCCTGGGATGTCCTCATCTCATTGTGCTTCTGGTGACTTCCTTGTCATTACCCTTTGTCCCTCTACAGCCTCTGCATTCTGTCCCCATCACACGGTTGATGACTCACTTCTCTGTTGTACACTCACTACCATCTCTGTCCATCCACTTGTGGATGAGCTCCGTGATAGGAGAGGAGCTGTCCTGTTCACCTTATATCCTTATAGAGTAGGAAGTGGATGAATGGATGATTTTATAATCAGAGCTACATGGCACTTAATTTTCTGACCAACCTAACATCCTAGATTTTAGATTGAAGATAGTAAAGATCTGCGAGGTTGAAACTTGCCCAATTTCACTTATCTAATAAAGTCTCTGATATAAAAAAGGACATCCTGGGGAAAACCTTTGCAGCCTCAGTGTCATTAGTGATGCTCTTACTATATAAAACTAAAAATACCTGTAAAAATATTTTGCTCAGGTGCCTGTCTACCACTACTGACCGTTCTGATGAGGGCCACAATAGATAGACCCTGACAGAATGGGAGGAAAACATGGAACAGAACTCAAATTCTTAAAAAGTCCAGATTTACTGGACTAGTTGAGACTAGAGGACTCCCTCAGACTAAGGCCCTGAGATATTCTTTAAACCTTGAGCTAAAACTATCCCGAGGTCACCTTTTAGTGAAATAACAGATTGGCACACAAAATAAAGGATATTACCCGTGAGTATGGTGCTCCATTAAAAAAGCGTCTATATGAGACCAAAGGTGAACAATTACTCTAAAGCAAAGAAGAGAATATAAGGAGGCAGAGAAACTAGACCACTGGAAACAGAATAGCCAGAATGCAATTAAAGAGCATGTTGACTCATTGTGAAAAATGTAACTAATGTCACTGAACAATTTGTATAGAAATTGTCAAATGGAAACCTAATTTGCTGTGTAAACTTTCACTGAAAACATAATAAAATATTATTAAAAAATATTTTGCTCAGAGTAAAATGATAATTTTATTTAAAGAAATGCCTAGTCAGTGTAATGCCTTTAGACAGTGTTTGGAGTAAAATGCATACACCTTCCCTTCTTAAGAATCTGATGAACACTATGGATACTTTTTCCAGAAACATGTACAAAATTTTTCATCAGTTTTAGGGGGCATTTGGAGACCATCTATAGGATCATGGTCAAAATCCCCTACTATAAATAGTAGGTGGGGCAATTCTCTATATTTGGAGTAGCTGTAATTGTGCAGGGTGAACATGACCAGACACCTAAGGGCTTAACATTACCAAATGGCCCCCCTGGAAAAAATCTTTGGTCACACACCTCTTTAGGAGAAAGAATAGAAATGTAGTCTTCATATATTATCCTTGCTTTTTCTTCAATCATCTTTTTATTAGCTTCTTTTTTCAGTTCTTCACAGGCCATCCAGAAAAGCATATTTTCTTCACTGAATTCTGTCCGGAGGAATTCACGGAAAGCATTTCTTCCTGCTGGAGTGATCATTAACTTGTCAAAGGACTGGGCCCAGGAGCTGACTTCTTCCAGAGTGGGGGTCGTGCTTAGTAGACCAAGAAAAAGGGGGGAAGGGAACCATGTTATTGGAAGTTAATTTGAATTTTGTCTCTAGAAACCAGTAGGTTTTTCCCTTCTGACAACGAAAAATATATGCACTGAGGCCCTCTTAGGAAGGGAAAGAGCCCTGGGCAAAAGTATGTGATGTTTTCAAATTGTTTAGCTGGATTGCATGGCCACTGGAAAATGCTGGCAAACCAAGGCACTAGAATAGCTGCTGAGAACACACTTGTTTACATTTAGACACTCCTGGCAGTATTTTTGAGGTATGAAAGTAAAGAAAAATCCTACAACCACCTGACCAGCCACTACCCCCCACCCATCACCTGCGACAAAACAAAGTTAGACTTAACAACATGCTCCTCTAGAACAACAACATGGCAATGGCAGTTTTTGTGTGTGTGTATGTGTGTGTGTGTGTGTGTGTGTGTGTATGTGTTTAAAATTATGTAATATTGGAGAAAAAGAAAAGAATATTTGTAATATAAATGCAAGTTATGAAGGGTAACAACAAAATGAATACCTGTGAACTAGAACATGACCAATAAAGTTGCATTGACCTGTGAGCTATTTCCACAGGCTTCCCTTCCCCATCGAAGGAACTCCTGTACTCAATTTTGTGCTTACCCTTTTCTAGTTTATGTTTATTGTTTTACCTCTTTTTTAAATTTTATTGAGGTCAGAAAACAATCTGTTTAACAGTAATCCTTGTTGTCCCTTTCCCCTTATCCTTTTTTTCCCATAGTTTTTACATATGTATGTATCTCTGAAGAATATATTCTTTAGTTTTTTTCCCCCCAAACTGTATAACAATGGCTTGCTATATGTTGTCTTCTGCAAGTTGCTTTTTTCACCCAACATTATGTTTCTAAGAGTTACCCATGTTGTATGTAGCCAGAGTTCCTAAGTAAGGCTTGCCTCTAACTTTCCATTCTTGTACTATCCTCATCCGGTTTTGATCTCCCTGTTATATTGGCCTCGTAGAATTGGATTGGTATACAAGAGTTGTATAATCTTGAAGTGATCTACTCCTGTAATGTTTTGTAGAACTAGCCTGTAAAACCATGTAGATCCAGTGTTTATTTTGTAGGAATTTTATTAATTACTGATATAGTTACTTAAGTAGTTATAGGACTATTCTGGCCCTTTATTTCTTTTTGAATCAGTTTTAGTAATTCCCAGCTTTTTAGAAATTTCCTCAAGGGGTCTAAATTATCAAGTTCATTGGCATAAATTGTTACTAGTGTTATCATATTATCAGTCTCCAATGGATATTATATTCCCTTTTTCATTTTTAATATTGCTTAATTGTGCATTCTCTATATTTTTATTGATCAATCTCAGCAGAGGATGTCAATTTTTTAAGTCTTTTAAAAGAATCAGCATTTGTCTTCATCTTCTCCACTGTATCTTTTTTCCCATTGTATCTTTGTTTTCTACTTCATTTACTTCTGCTTATTCTTAAGTTGGACACTTAACTCATTAGTGATCAATCTTTCTTCTTTTCTCATATAAACACTTAAGGCTATACATTTTTCTCTACTACTTTCCCTGCATCCCACAAGTCTCATAGGTCAATTTCATGTAGATTGATTATAAATTTAAAAAAAAAAAAACCTTTTATTATGATTTATTCTCTGACCTAGGAGTTATGTGGAAGAGTTTCTAAAATATCAAACATAAGAGAATTTTTAGTTTGTGTTTTAAATTTTTACTTCCATTTTAATTGTATTGAGGTTAAAAAAAAAAAAAACTTTAATTAATGATCTTTGAAATTTATTGAAACACATTATGAGGTAATCCTTAGATTCAGTGTGTCAGTGTGTACAGATGGATCCCCTTTCAGTACAGCTGTATGTAAATGTATGGAAAATTCATTTGCGGAGATACAAAAAAACTGTTGATGGCAGTTATCTCTGGAGAGTGGGACGAGGCCTGGAGTAAGAGGAAGACTGAGTTTTTATTGTAAAACTTATGTATTATTTGATTTTTGTTTTTATCATGGGCATGTGAATTTTTCATCATGAAAAAGTATTACATATGAAAAATAAATTGCCTATCATAACTCTGGAAAAATTATTTTTGAAAGAAAAGATTTAAAGAAATATACATAAAAATCCTGGATTAATTTTACAAAGGTTAATTAGATTGAAGAGGCTTAGCTCTAAAGTATCCTAAATTATGTTCCTTAAATATGAGGATTCAAAAGATATATTTTTACTTCTGTCAAATTAAGAAATATATATTAAAGAGTGATTTTTAAAAAACTTAAAAGTAATCAGTAGTAGAAGTTTTTTAAAAAGACAGATCATATATACCTTCCATAGTACTGAAGAACTTAAAAGCAAAGAAAGCTCAGTCCATATTGCAAAAAACAAAAAGCTTAAGGAAATAATTAGGAGATATTATCAGCAGAAAACCAAAGAATATTTGAGAAGATTAAACATCAAGAATGATCAAAATCACTGATTAATGTGATTGGATTCTAGGACCCTATTTAAAGACAGGAAGAGCCCTGGTGGCGCAGTAGTTAAGAGCTTGGCTGCTAACCTAAAGGTCATCAGTTTGAACCCACCAGCTGCTTTGGGGGAGAAAGATGTGGCAGTCTGCTTCGTTAAAGATTTACAGCCTTGGAAACCCTATGGGGCAGTTCTAGTCTGTCCTATAGAGTCGTTGTAAGTCGGAATCGACTGCCCAACTGATGGCAGTGGGTTTGGTTTGGTTTGTGGTATTTAAAGACAGAGACTCAAACTAGGCCAAAAAAGCAAAACCCAACATAATGCTATTTCCAGGAAACACATAAAACATTACCAGAAATTTAAAGACAAATAGAAAGACAAAGATAAATGAGGCAAATACAAGGAAGTACAGTAATGCATTACTTAATGTCCAGGACAGTTCTGTGAACTAGGACGTTATGTGATTTGGAACTTGTGGGGAACACCAGGGTCCCCACAGCCCTGTGAAGATCAAGGCCGGGAGGCTCTAGGCTCTAGCAGCAGAGGAGCAGTCTCTGTGACCCGGTGTCCCCACCCCGCCCACCCCGCGATGCCTGCCAACTTTGGGCGCTCGGAAACAGGATTGGTGCCCACTCCTCCCAGGCGCAGGGGCTCCTATTCCTGCTGGTGTGGGGCGGTGGGGCGGGCTCTCTACCCTTGGGCTGTAGGCATCCCCTGGAGGGTGTGCACTGGACCACAGACGTATATGCAGTCAGATGTTGCCCAAATGGAAGTTATGCATTGCATGACTGTATAATATTAATATCTATATCTAAGTAGAAGTGGAAGCAAAAGCATAAAATTGTACACAGAGTCATTTTATATTATTGATTGGATACAACTGAGAATGAATAATTGTTGCTGTTGTTAGTTGCCTTTGAGTTGCCTCTCACTCATGGCTACCCCAGTGTGCAGAGTAGAATTGCTCCATAGGGTTTTCAATGGCTGTGACCTGTTGGAAGCAGACTGCCAGGCCTTACTTCTGAGGCACCTCTGGGTGGGTTTCAAGTGCCAGCCTTTCGGTTAGTAGTCCCAGTGCTTAACCACTGGGCAACCCAGGGACTCCTTGAGAATGAATAATACCTAACATATACTGAGTGCTTGCCTTTTGCCAGGCTCTAAGTGCTTTATTTGTCTTCGTCACAACACTTCATTGGCTTGAGGCACAACATCCTATTATGATCCTCATTTTATATATGAGGAAACTGAGGCAGGGTGTGGCTATTAAGTAAACTGCACAAGGTCACACACGTAGGACGGTTAGAGCTAGGACCAGTTGCAGGCATTCTGGTGCCAGACGTAACAGTCTCAAAGCTTTGTTGTTGTTAGTTCTCATGGAGTCAATTTTGACTCATGGTGAGCCTATGTGTGTTAGAGTAGAACTGTTCCATAGGGTTTTTAAGGCTGTGACTTTTCAGAAGCAGATTGCCAGGCCTGTCTTCCAAGGCACCTCTGGGTGGGTTTGAACCGCCAACCGTTGGCCTAGTAGCACTTTACCATTGCGCAACTCAGAGACAGTCTCAAAGTTGAGTGCACTGCAATACATAAGATAAAAGTAGTTTTTAATGAAGTCAAAAATTGTGGAAGAGTTTTATATGCCTCCCAGATTTCAAAAATTCTGGGTAAGGATAAATAAAGAATGAAGAAAAATATTTGTTTTTTGTACTATTAGATTTTTCCCTCAAAAATAAGCAATTTATATAAAATCTATTTTAATGTTTTTAGGGTATTTGTCTAATATCTGTAATTTTATAGGCTATTATAATACCAAGATAGGTATAAAAAAATTAAGTGAAAGCAAATCAATTTGTAATATGAAGAAAAAAAACCCAATTTTAAAATTTGGCATTATGGAAAGTAATTTTATGTGTTGTTTTCTTTAAAATTCTTCTCAAAATACCTAGGTTTAAAAAATAATACATTGGCCATTTAGTATAAATTTACAGCTAAGTAAAAAATGGACTTACATTTTCCTGAAAACCAAGTACGTGTATGTTTCATTATGGTCTTTTATTCTAAAAAATACATGCAAATGAAATATATGTTTTGTCAAGAAGCATTGACTTATATTTGTGATTAGCAAAGGAACTGGATTACTAATGGGACTGCTTTTTCTCCGTGTCACAACGATGATTTAAAAGAAGTTCTGCAGGGCGGGGAGGTGAAACCACACCATGATCTGATATTATTAAATTGCAGTTAGAGAAACTGTGAGTTCTGTTGAAAGATATAATGCAAAAAATTAAAAAAAAAAAAAAAAAAGGTTGGTGTTTCCATCAGTTTGGTGGCATTAGTAACGAGAGGTTTCACCTTTCTTCACAAGTCGGGAAGCCTTCTGTTCTGAGGTCGTGGGAAGCCCTCCTGGGTCTCTGATCTTCTTGGTTTCTGAAGGTAAGACTGAAAGAAACAAGACATTCTAATGTCACATCGGCCCAGTCTGTACCAAGGAAATAATTTACACAAATATTTTAAAGTACTTCAGATCCCCAAGGAGAATTTCTTCCTCTTCTTGAAAAAAAGGGCCTTGACTGGTTTTTTTAAGTAAACCAAAGTATGACAATAAGGTAACATTAGCAAAATAAATTATGTTTATAATATTGTGGTCTACAGTAATTGAGAAATAAGTAGAAATTATTATGCTCAATTACGTTTAGAATAGTATTTTTTTCATAAAAACACATTCATTAGAAAGTACTAACAAGTAAAAATTTTTAGGAATGTTCTGGGTTTTCATCCCATTTCCAGAACCTTAAAAAAAAAGTATTCTCCAGGCTTCGTTTCAGTCAAAATGGAGGTTTTATATATTTATAGGCACACACACAAAAGTATTAGAGAAAAAAGAGTACAATAAAAATCTACTATTTGTTTTTCAAGACAATTTAAGTTTCCTTACGTACATTTCCTGTATTTCTTTGTAAATTTACTCCAATATTTTTGTTGTTATTATAAATGGAATTTTCATTTCCATCTTATCTTCTAACTGGTTATTGTTTCTACATAGCCTTATTTAGCTGCCATTTACATACCACAAAGTTTACCTGTTTCAAGTGTACAATTTAATGGGTTTTAGCATATTCACAGAGTTAGGCAACCATCACCATATTCTAATTTAGAACATTTCATTATCCCAAAGTAGAAGAAACCCTGTACCCATTAGCAGTCAATCCTCGTGCCCCCATCTATCCGTTCTCCACTAGCCCTAGGCAAACAGTAATCTACTTTCTGTCTCTATGTTGTTGTTGTTGTTAGTTGCCATCGAGTTGGCTCCCACTCATGACAGCCTTACATATCACAGAACAAAACGTTGCTTGGTCCTGCATCATCTTCATGATGGTTGGTATGTTTGAGTCTACTGTTACAGCTACTGTCTCAATTGATCTCATTGAGGGTCTCCCTTGTTTTTGCTGACCCTCTCCTATACCAAATATGATGTCCTTTTCTAGCAATTGGTCTTTCCTGATGATAAGTCCAAAGTAAGTGTGCTGAAGTCTCACCATCCTCGCTTCCAAAGAGTATTCTGGTTGTATTTCTTCTAAAAATGATTTGTTCATTCTTCTGGTTGTCCATGGTACACTCAATATTCTTTGTCAACACATTTCAAATGCATTAATTTTTTTTTTCCTTTCTTCTTTTTTCATTGTTCAGCTTTTCCATGTTGGTTGAAAAGACCGTGGCTTAGGTCAGGCACACACCTTAGTCATCAAAGAGACATCTTTGCTTTTTAAAACTTTAAAGAGGTCTTGCAACAGATTTGCCCAATGCAAATAATTTGATTGCTTGACTGCTGCTTCCATGGACTTGATTGCTGATCCAAGTAGAATGAAATCATTTACAACTTCAGTTTTTTCTCCATCTGTCTCTATAGATTTGCCTATTTTGGATAATACAATGTGGCCTTTTGTGGCTGGCTTCTTTCACTTAACATAATGTTTTCAAGGTTCATCCATGTTGTAGCATGTATCAGTACTTCATTCTTTTTCATTGCCAAATAATATTCCATTGCATGGATATACATTCATTCATCCATTTATGGACATTTGAGTTGTTTCCACTTTTTGGCTGTCATGAATAATCTGGCTGTGAACATTTGTGTACAAATTTTTGTGTGGATGTATGTTTTCATTTCCCTCGGGTAGGTATGTAGTAGTAGAACTGCTGGATCACATAGCACCTCTATGTTTAACTTTTTGAGGAACCACCAAACTGTTTTCCACAGCAGCTGCACCATCCATTTCACGTTCCCACTTTACGTTCCTACCAGCAATGTATGAGGGTTCCAATTTCTCCACATCTTCATAACACTTGTTATTTTCTGTTGTTGCTGTTTTTTCTAATAGCCATCCTAGTGGGGGTTAAGTGGTATCTCACTGTGGTTTTGATTTTCATTTCCCTAATGACATTGCCTGGTGGTGCAATGATTAAGCACTTGGCTACTAACCGAAAAGTTGGCGATTTGAACTCACCCAGTGGCTCTGTGGGAGAAAAGACCTGGTGATCTTCTCCCATAAAGATTACAAGCTAGAAAACGCTATGGGGCAGTTCTACTCTGTCACATAGGGTCACTATGGGTTGGAATCCACTCAACGGTACCCAGCAACGACTAATGATATTGAGCATCTTTTTGTGTGCTTGTTGGCCATTTGAATTTCTTCTTTTATGAAATGTCTATTCAAGTCCTTTTCCCATTTTTTAATTGGGTTGCTTGTCTACTATTGAATTGTAAAGGTTATTTATATATTTTGGTACAAGTTCTGAAGGCTACTGCATTTTATGTTAATTTTATATGTTTCTTCTTTACTGAATTCTTTTGTGTTTGCATCAGTTTTAGCAACAATTCTTTTTGGGATTTCCAGGTATACTTTCATATTATCTGCAAACACAGAATTTTATCTCTGCCTCCCTCCAATTCTTGGTCCTCTGTGTTCTCTTGTCTAATTGCATTGTTTTTGTTGATAGCTGCCATTGAGTCAGCCCCTGACTCATGGTGACCCCATTCACAACGGAACAAAACGCTGCCTGATCCAGCGCCATCACCATCAGATCGATTTCAGATGAGACCATTGCGATCCATATTGTTCTCATTGGCTGATTTTTGGAAGTAGATCACCAGGCCTCTCTTCCTAGCGTGTCTTATTCTGGAAGCTCTGCTGAAACCTGTGCAGCATTATAGCAACATGCAAGCCTCCACTGATGATAGGTGGTAGCTGTGCATAAGTTGCATTGGCTGGAAATGGAACCAGGTCTTCTGCATGGAAGGTGAGACTTCTACCACTGATCCTCATCTAATTGTGTTAGATGGTGTTAAATACTAGGTGAAATAGCAGTGGAGATTGTGGACACCCTTGCCTTGCTCTTGATTTTAGCAGGAGTGCTTCTGAGTGTTTCCCATGAATTTCAGAGTGGCTTTTTATCATTGACTATTCGTGTTTGCTCTATCTTGTTATTGCTTTGATTCCTTTTATTATATCATTCCTTAACACTTTTTACTTCATCTTATGTCTTCTTGCTTATTTTCAGCACATCTGATTTATAAATCATGTGTGTATTTAGCTCTATTTTTCTTTAACTGCACAAGTCATTAGAACTGCAAGAACTCTTTGACTTGTTGATTTCGTGATGTCAAGACTAAAAAGTTTCAGTAAATAATGGTTTCTTAAAAATAAACAAAAACAAAACTTGAGAGGCGTCTGGGTGGTATTCTCTCTGTGTGAGCATTAATACTGCATGGCTTCCCAGGCTTCTTTTGTAAGCAGGACACATTACTGCACAGTGGGGGCAAAAAAGTCCAGAGAAAGAGAAATGATGAATTTGACACGAGATTCCTAAGAGAATTGGCAGCTATATTTCCAACTAAATAATGCAAAATTCCTTTAACCTTTGACATTTCTTCCTGTCTCTCTCTCTTTGTCAAGCAGGAATATTTTTTTAAGGAGATGTTCTTGAAAAAGTAAAGAATGTATTTTGTGTCAAGTTTTCTTTACTCGGGGTTTTTGTTACTGGGGCATTAGTGGTTCAGTGGTAAAATTCTTGCTTTCCATGCAGGAAGCCTGGGTTAAATTCCTGGCCAAGGCACCTCAAGTACAGCCACTACTTGTCTGTCAGTAGAGGTTTATGTGTTGCTATGATGCTGAACAGCTTTCAGCAGAGCTTCCAGACTAATACGAGCTAGGAGGAAGGGCCTGGTAATCTAATTCTGTCTTAGTCATCTAGTGCTGCTATAACAGAAATACCACAAGTGGATGGCTTTAACGAAGAGAAGTTTATTTCCTCACAGTCAAAGTAGGCTAAAAGTCCAAATTCAGGGCGTCAGCTCCAGGGGTAGGCTTTTTCTCTCTGTCGGCCTTCTTCTCTTCGGTGTTCCCCCGGACTAGGAGCTTTTTTGCGCAGGGACCCCGGTCCAAAGGACGCGCTTTGCTCCCGGCACTGCTTTCTTGATGGTATGAGGTCCCCAATTCTCTGCTTGCTTCCCTTTCCTTTTATCTCTTACAAGCGATAAAAGGTGGTGCAGGCCACACCCCAGGGAAACTCCCTTTACATTGGATCAAGGATGTGACCTGAGTAAGGGTGGTGTTACAATTCCAGTCTAATCCTCTTTAACATAAAATTACAATCACAAAATGGAGGACAACTACACAATTCTGGGAATCATGGCCTAGCCAAATTGTTACACACATTTTTTGGGGGACACAGTTCAATCCATGACAACGTCCAAAAATCAGCCAATGCAAACCCTATGGGTCACAATGGTCCGATCTCATGGTGCATGTGGTCACCATGCTTCAGGGGCCTACTCGAGGGCAGCTAACAACAACATTCTTATTGTCACAGCAGAACAAGAAAATGTGGGCAGAAGCCAAGATAGTTGCTCACCGTGTTTGAGAAAAAAAATCAGTTAAAGAAGACCCATTGGTAGGTATATTTTGGTAATTTTTGAGTTATAAAGAGGAAAAAATTCTTCAACCTACCAGGAAAAAAAAAAAGTTTATTTTCAAGGGAACAAAATATGGATGACTTCCTTCATAGCACTATATGCCAGAAGCTGCAGTACAGTTTTGAGGAATTAATACAAAGGCTTAGAACATGTTGCCATTTACCTTTCTTGAAAATTCACTGTACTGTGTATATCAATGTGGCTAAATCCCAAAGCATAATGCTGAGTGAAAAACAAAATCAAGGAAATGAAATATTAAAAGAGTTGAAATTTCCTGTGTACTTTCCCTCCATCCTCTGCCCCCCTCTCTACCCCAGGGATAGCCACCATCTTTAATTTGTTGTTTGTCGTTGCCATTCATGTTCATGCCACTCTGTGTTTATATATTCACACACACCACATTTTCAAACTTTGTATAAATGTATTACAAAATATGCATTGCTTTATAATTTGCTTTTTCCCCCAC